AAGATGAGCAATTTAATTATGAGGATTGGGATCCAAAGCCATTGTTAGTAAATGATTACATAATAAATAAACCGTTAAAATTTTATTTTTAAATATTTTTACAGTATTTATCAAATGTTAAATATTCTATTATTTATAAATTCGGATATATGAATTAATTTCGGAATATCGGATAGGTTTCGGAATTTCAGAATATCGGAAAATTACACTATCGGGCGAAAGTAATTTCGGACAGTTTCGGTTTCGAATATGGGCGATATATATCGGTTTCGCCCACATCATTACTGTGAAGAACCTAACGTTAAAATATTCCGTGCTCACAGGTATATTTTATGCTACCGTTCTTCGTATTTGCGACGAGATTTGGCTTCAAATAAAAAATTAATGAAAATATCCCAACTCATTTGTATTTCACCGGACATTTTTCAAATTATTTTAAATTAAGTGCTACCGATATAACTAACATACATTTAGTGTATTACATTTTTTTTTTAATATTTAAATTAAATTGTAATTTAGATATATTTATGGTGGTGGCGCTCTTTCAATTAATGAGCAAGACATTTCAAACATTGTTAAAATCTTTGATAGCCTGCTAATAAACTATGTCTTCAAGAGCTAATTGATTATTTGCAAAAGTATTTAATTGAAAAGAAATTCGAATGGATGGAGCAACATTTTGAGATCATTCACCAAGCAAGTTTTCAATCTAATAATTTTCTAAACGTTCAACAATTTTGTACAGATCTGATAGCTAATCACCTGACAAAGTATTTAAGTCACTTGACTTGTCTTTTCTTTCTGAAATGTCTAATATCAATCATTAAAAGGGACGATTTACAAATGGAAGAAATTGAAGTTTGGAATCTTGTATTAAGATGGGGACTTGCACAAAAAACAGCTCTTAGTTCAGACCCCACAAATTGGACCGATGATGATTTCAAAAAAATGGAGAATACTTTACAACGATGCTTACCTTTGATTAGATTTTTTTAGATTGTCTTCTAAAGATTTTTTAAAGAAAACTTCGTCCATATAAAAGATCAACTTTATGAAAATTTATTAGCATACCACCTGGATCCCGAAACACAAATAACCCATACAATTTTACCTCCTAGAGTTGGAAATTTGGATTCAAAAATCATTAATTTAAACATGGCTTCCTTAATTTCAAAATGTATAGATAAAGTGAATTTCAATACTACAGAATTATATTTGCCTTATAAAATTTGAATTACTATTGAGAGAAAGTCGAGACGGATTAACTCCTAAAGTTTCACACATTATGTGACTATAAGCCTATGACTGTCACCTTCATTAAAACAAATGGAACAAATGAAATTATTGGTGGATACAATCTTCTAATATGAAATTTATTGGGGGATGGGGTAAACCATAGATAGTTTTATTTTTTTGTTTGATCTTTTAAAGATTTTCATAATTGTATTGTTGACATTTAATTGTATTATAATCTGTTTGTTCTGATGATGAATATATTAAGAGTAGATTTAAAGAATTTCTCCATTGAAGATTACGAAGTATTCCAAATTATTAGAAAGTAAACTATTTTATTATGAATTTAACTAATTACTGGAACCTTATTGGATCATTGTCCATTATTACGATACTTTTATAGTTTTTAAGATGGAAACTACTGAAATAAGAGTAGGAGAGACGTGGACTGAAATATATACAATAGTTGATTAATATAGCATTTCCTATAATGAATATTTTAATCTCAAGGATCGAAATTTATTTAATTGTAAGCTAAATAATTCTCGTGCAATATCTATAGGCTGCAATTTCTGATATTTCTGCCACCTCCGTTACAAATGAAAGGATTTTTTTTTGATACAGTCGACCCAGGTCGCGTTTTTTAGATGGGTCCTATACTGTATATTGATAGTGAACATCATTATATATACCCAGGAACTTATAAAGTAATATACATATATCAAAAAAAAAATTCAATTTCTTTCTCTATGATGGATTCAAATTGAGATTTCATCCGTCAAATTCAGATTAGATATCACGATATCATGGTAACATTGGACGATATTTTAAGATCTACGAAACGTTAGGATTTGGCAAGCTTACGATAAGGCCATGCAACTTCGATTTTTCGGTTCACGTAAAATTGAAATTTAATAATAAAAAAAGTTTATATTATGCCATCTGATTGGTCAATCTTTAAGGGGACAAGGCCATACAAAGTAAATTTTCAGATTCTGTGACCCGGCCATGTCAGTTTACGAAAATTCAGGATCTTTTTTTTTTTTTATTGTAAAATTTTTATCATGTGATCTTACATAATAAAATCGGCATATCAGATTTTTTTTAAAAGAAAGCGGCGAAATAACAATACATAAAAAAAAATTTACATATGAAAAAGAAAAAAAAAAAAACCGGGTGGCCGTGTCAATTTTAAAATTTTATCTAAAAATTTTCTTTGCCCGGCCTAATCATACGACAATCACACTCCGTCAAAATGCCTATTATACACGTAAAAATAAGTTACAATTCTAAAGTTTTGAAGGATTGGGAAGGTTTACCTGTTGAGTAAGACAAGAAACAAAAATAAAAGATTTTTTTTTGAAATATATCGATTCTATATTTATCACCTAACTGGTTGCTTGGGAAGCTACATGAAAATTAATGAGTTGTAAGAAAGGAATTATACATAACGATAATACAATAAAGCTTTAATCTACCAATAAAATTACACTTATAGTCACATGATAAACTTTTTATATATAAACTTATTTTTGATAAAATTTGAAAAAGTGACCCGGCCGGGTGACGTGAACCGAAAAATCGAAGTTGCATGGCCTAACAGCTGTTATACTTTTATATACCACCAATGAACAGGAAGATTTCTAGGAAATCAGGATCTGGGAATTTGCATTTTAGTTTTTGATGTTATTAGATTCAAATGAAATAAGGTCTTAATTCTGTCAAAAAAAAATTCTCAGCCTGATTTTCTTAGCAAACTTCCCAGATAGAGTCTTATACATACAATATATGATTTATACAAAATACGTCTCTATCAAATTTAATAATAAATGTTCTATTACATGGTCATAACGGTTTTCAACATTTTGTTCACGCTAAATAGGTCGTGAATCGCTAAGGTAGTCTGGTGTTACCACATTTACGACTTGATGTTGTTTCACTGAATGATATTTCCCAGCTCCAAGATAATTGATGAAAAGCTCTTCCCAAATTATCTGATTTTATTATTACAAATTCCAAGATGTTTTAATTTATGCGGCCTCAACATTTAATTTTAATTTGGCTCTACAATAGTTTTATAAATCATTTAAATTTCATTGAATCATACCTAGAGATTCTAGAGATGTGAATATTAAACCCCTTGATCCACTGATTTACATTGTAGATAAAGAAATATTTTTTTTTTTTTGTCGTGGAAAATCCAAAATATTTATGTTACTAAGCTTACAAAACCTAGTTCAATAATGGTCTAAAAGAATTAAATCGCCTTTTAACTTACAAGTATTTTGGCTACGACGATATTGGAAACAAGTTTCGATTGGTTTTTTATAAATTTAATTTTTTTATTAGGCTCCTTTCGATTTTTACGACTACGTCAAATATTGGATGTAAGATGCTTGGGTTTTTTATTATGTTTTCGTCTTGTTCCTTCATTCACAGGAAAAAAAAAAAAATCAGAAAGATATTAATATGAAGTTAGAAAATATGGCGGTATCGGAAAAAATCAAAAAAAAAAATCTCTCGAAGTAAAAACAGAGAGGCGAAGTTAATAAAAAGACTTTCCGACTATTATGATTTGCTTTATGGTTTGAATATTCAGCTATCACGTATTTATTAAATTCATTACTATGCTGGAATTATTTATTAAAATTCGATATCCCATAGGAATGTTCGTATTCTCTTCGCTAAGTTCTTTCATTACAGAAAAAAAAAGGAGAAAAATCTGAAAATGTAGAGAAAATTGAAGAAGTAGAAAAAGCAAGAGAAGTAGGAAAGAATGGAAAATGAAGGAGAAATAAGCTAAGAAGGTTAGAGAATGAAAAAGAAAGTGAAGAGAAAGGAAGAAAGAAAGAAAGAGAAGAAGCAGCAATATAAGAAGGGAAAGAAAAAGAAGATACAGTTATTAAAGGGGTAGACAAATAGGGAACTGAAGAGGGGATAGAAGAAAGAGAAGTTGAAAAATAGTTTATCATCTTGGTATGACAACAGCACAAGTGATCCTTTGAACGTGAACCTATTGTATTTATTGAGTCATTATTTTAAAAGAATACTTGAAATAATAAAATGTAATTTTTTTTTGGTTTACTTCTTTTTTTTTTAAAAAAAAAAAAACAATACGAAAAATGATACCCACCAAAAAGTAAAGTTGGGATAAAGATAAATGTGGCCAATGAACAATTATCGACGTTCATCTAAATTTTTGTTAATTTTTGTTAATGTTTTCAAAACGTTTTTCTAAGGCGGGTTACAAAACTTTGTTTTTAAGACAAAAAAACCTTTATTGTTATATGATTATGTAAGTATTTTTTTTCTTTACAATTTAATGGGTTTTTATTTTTTACGCACCTGTGCAAAATGCAGGGGTGCGTAAAATACATGTAAAATTTTAAAATACAATATTTTTACGCATGGTATAAAGTTTTTAAAAATTTTATTAAAATTTAAGCAATGCATTTTGATTTTTGTACGCACCCCTATATTACAATAAAATTAAATAAAATGTTTCGCAATAATAAACTTTCATTACCAAATTTGTCTAATAAGCAAATAGCAAATAGCATTTCTCAAGTGTTGATAAAATGAAAATTAGTTTTTGCCTTCCCCTCGGCGGGCTCAAATTACTACTGTATTTGAGCATATTAATTAAACATTCTAAATACTAATCATCATTCTTTCTTTTTTTCCATTGGACAGACATGTAGTATGATTATGTCCACTTTCATTGTATAATCCACATTTGCGAGTTTTGTTAACATTATTAGAAGCTTCTAAAGGTCCTTTGAATCTGCAGTATCTGGTGGTCGTCCTTTTGGATGCCTACTTTCACTATCATCTAGAATATTTTCGATAAAATCGTTAGGAAATTTTTCATTATCTGAATAATCACTTGAAAGTGATTCTTAAACACTCATTTTAAGGATATTCAACAATAAGATTTATAAAAAAAAAAAAAAAATAGGGAAAGAGAGAATAAAAAGAAGAGAGAGAAAGAAAAGAGCCGTGGGTACCATTGATTAAACAATTGATTTATTTAAAAGTCTAATAAATGATCGCGCACATGATCATATGGACTGCGCATCAAAAAAACTACGCATGAGATGTATATTACACACCCATGTAAAATTCATATTTAATAATTTACTATACATGCATAAAAAAATCTGCATGGGTGCATTTTGTGCAGGGTGCGCAAAATACAATTTAATATTGATTTATTATTCGTCGATTTTAAAAAATATTTGTCGTATTAATAAATAAAAATTTTATTATGTAAAAAAAATTTACGCATTATACTAAATTTTGATTTTATGTTACCGACCATTAATTACCGCCTTTTAAACCTAAGTGCTTAAGACAACTTTAATCTAAGTACTTAAGAATTCTATAAAAAAAAAAAATATTGAGAATGCAAAGTATTTTAACGTTGGAAGATGATTTCATAGTTCAAAGTTAAGAAGAAATAAAGAACTTATAAACGTACTTTACTTTAAATAATAATTCTATTAGAAAAACTATTATTATGAACGATGAGGCTCGGTTAAAAATTGATTAAATAATGGGCGTAATAAGTTTAATTAATCATTAGTTCACTTACGTGGATGGATGGTATATTTCAACTTGGTTTCTTTTTTTCACGAATCTCATGTTTTGAGATATTTGTGGTTATCTCTATCTTTAAAATTTTTTTTTATTTCACGGATGTCCTTTTGCACGACGATTAATTTCTTGTTCATAGTTTCTTAACATTTCAAAATTTCCTCCATAGGTAACTCAAGTTATTAAACAACGAATCCTGTGTCGAGAAGCCGACCTTAGTACAATCAATTAATGATACACGTTTTTCCATACTTTTGAGCGCGTTCAATTAGTTTTGAAATAATGACCACCTCAAGTAATGGTATATTCAATCGTAAGATAAGTAAAGATATTTCAGAATCTTTTCTTGTTTCTGATAAACAAAAAAATAAAGTGCTTTCAAAAATCATAGATAAATGGAATTATTATACACATACATACATATTGAATATATTCATTTGATACGCGTCAAGAATTTTTTTATTGAAAAATGTTACATCCATATTTCCATAAGTTTTTCCTTCATTTCAATTAACCTATCCGATTCTTTTAGTACATATACTTGCTAACATTCTAGATCCTGAGTACCGTGGTTATAGAGCAACACTTTCCAGATGTGTCAGTATATAAGTAGAAGGTTTTTTGCAAACTTTGGATATATTAGAGTGGACGCAAATGTTAAATGTTTGTTGAATGTCGAGACCGTTCACTTTTTGATAAGATTTTTCGAAGGTCTCGCATTCTTTGAGAAAGAAGAGTTGAAGTGATTAATATTTTCTTGATAATTTTGTTCCTTAAGTAATATAATTAATTATGTAAGATTTCTAGATTAAACATTTGCAAAGAATTACAATCAAAGAACGATAATATCAACATAACATGATAAAAAGTAATATTTCATAAAGGTTTTGAAATGCTTTTGAGAAGTTCCAAGTCTTGAACCTTCATTATTTCAAGAAATGAAGAAACAGAAACTTTTAGCAAAAAAAAAAAAAAAATTGAAATTTTTGCGTCTCGAAAAAGATAGACGTAATGAGTAACGTGACCACAATCTGTGATTAGCATTATTGTCACAAAAATTGAAAATGCATAAATGTATCACTTCTTGTCGTACAAGTTCATAAGACAGGGGAAAGTAAAATTAATTTTTAAAAAAAAATTAAAAAAAATTATGGGAAATAAAATTTCAAAGTTGAAAGGACAGGACGTGCAGGAAAAAATTTTTTTATGCTTAAAACGAAATTTATTTTTTTATGCGATGCATAATTTGTAACACATTTGTAATAATGATAGATCAGATGTCATTGATTAAAAAATGTTAATTCTGGCTAGGATTAGCATCACTACTTGGTGAAAAAAAAAAATTTACTTTATGTAATTCAGAGAAATTTTTTTTGAACAAATGGTTTTTTTTTTGATTACTCAGGTATAAATGTATATTAAAAATATATATATATCATCCAAGGCTTTATTAAAAAAAAAAAAAAAAATTGATAAAAAAAAAAATTAAATTACATATAAATTATATAAATTACAACCCCAAGAATAATCTTAAAGAAAAAATATATTTTTTTTATCTACATGTGAAATTTATCCTTCTTAAATTTAAATCTTAAAATAATATTATACATGTTTTTTTCTTTTACGATTCATAAATAAAAGGAAATAGATCTAAATGATTAATAATAAGTTCATAAAGAAAAATAATTATTCCTATCTCGCTATTTTGTTTAATAAAAAAAAAAAAATTTGAAAGCTTTAGTTAATGGGTATCATGAATCATTGCCAAAGTATAAAGAAAAGAAAGGTCAAAACTTACGATATTAAATTTTGATTGTTCCGAATTTTCGTTTGAATGTAACCTTTTAAAAAAAAAAAAATTAAAATTAAAATCAAAGTATTTTCAACTTTATCGAGACAGATCAAATGAATAATTACCATGGATCCACTTCTTCATCGTCAAGTTGTTCTGCTATTTCATCTTCGCAATCTATTTTTTAAAAAAAGAAAATTATGAGAATTAAAAAATAAATAAAATAAAAATAAAAATAACAATTTATTTTTTTCTTTCTCATTTACGACACATCTACATACTTTCTATATCACACGCCCCAACAGGATATGAATTTATCGACGTTGTATGTAAAATGAGCACAAGGAAGGCGAATAGAATATAAGCGAATAATAATTTTGTATTTATTTTGTTCATTTTGTTATTTTATTACTTTGTGTAAAAAAAGAATATGGTTACTTTTTGTTCAGGACGAGAATATGAAGAAGGGAGGGCGTTTCAATCAATAAAAAATTATTCGTTCGAATAAAAAAAAGCGTACATATATATATATTTATTTATTTTTAATTACAGTATGATGATTAATATTAGAATGAAAAGTATAAAGAATTCCGAATTAACCCCGATCATCCATTCTATTTCGAACAACGTATTATTATTTTTTTCCCAAAGATTAAATCGAGATTAGCTTTTGTTACCCATCCTTATGATTAATTAAAATTCGGTTATGATGATTAAAATCTACTTATTAAAGAAGCCTTCTTACTAAATTTGCATCCAATGATAATTGCATGTTATCCCAAAGTGTCAAAAAAAAAAAAAAAAGAGACGAACTTTATCTGTTTCGTAATGCAATAATCATCATATAGCCTTTCCAAATTTAGGATCGACATGCGATCATTCTTAAAGATCAGTTCGTCATTGCACATTAAAAAAAAAAAAAAAGATGACTTGGCATGTAGCCAAGAAAAATATCAAACAGGAATATTCCTCGGAAAATACAAAGCAATCATTTCTAATGAATATAGAATGAAAGAAATCAGGAATAAGCTAATGAAAACATTTTTTTTTTTTTGTCGAAACTAACGGAAATTAAACAAAAAAAAAATTATCATGCCAAAATGAGTGAAACGCCTAATCTCCCCGTTTAGTAATTATTGCAAGTTGCTGTTTATGGTACGACACAAAAAAATGTAAAATGGGACTATTATATAATTAGGTTGTACAATTAATCATTATTATTTCTTACTGCGGAAAATTTCCATTTTCATTACCACAATTAATAATTTATATCAATCAATTCTTTTTGATTATCCTTTTGTTTATTTATGGAATATTCAACTTCCCATTGAAATAATGATATAGAATCACAATTTCGCAATGATTGAAGGAATTCTTGAGCTGACCCAACAAAGAGTTTCAAACACTAGATGCAGCACGTTGATCATTTATTCGTTCGTATTGTGTCTTTCACATACATCACATTGTTTTGTTGGGCATTTTTTATTCTTTGGTAGTCAGGCCATATGTAACGCCGCGGTACCCAGCGTACCCCGCAAAATGTTAAGATGTTAAATATTATTACTAGCAAACCTGATATTGATCCACTATCAAAACTATGGACCATTGTCGTTGGAAAGAAATATTGAATATGATGTTTTTGTCGTCCTTATTATATCTTGTCTTAGCAATATGTTTCTTTCACATTGTAACATTGATGGAGGCTTGTCCCTAGATTTTTACATATTTGGCAAAATGTACCAAAAAATTATTCGGTATCACAATCTTCTGCATGTGATCAAATCTGCATTATGAGTTTCTTCAAATCCGAGTTTATTAGATTTGTACGATATACAGTATGATCATTCAGTCTTCTATGCTTTCAATAAAATGCATTTATGTGAACGAAACTCTGTATAAATTTTTATCAAGTTTATTTTATTCTTTTTTTCATTCACTTTTTCATCTTATTTATTCTTCTGGTACGATTAAGAAGCGTTAAAGATATACTAATATTTGATAAAAAATTCGTAAAAATTCCAATTTGAAGATAATCTTGCAAATACAATTCAAAATCTTGTAACAATGCCGAAATCAAAATAAGAAACAATACTTATCCCATGGAATGATAGCTCATAATAAATAACGTAATTATAATATCCATTCATTTCAGTCATGTGAAATGTCAAAAAAATTTTGAGCAAGAATAGTTATATAATGTCGATCATTTTAATATTCAATTTTTATATGATTTTTCGCTCCTTTTTTGAGTTCGCGTATAGTTAGCTGTGTAACATTTTTAACTATTTTGAATTTCTGCTTCATTAAAAATGTTCGTCAGGCATCTAACAATATTTTTATAAGTTTAAAATGTTTAAAAGTTTAGTTAGTTTAAAAGGATCTTGTCAAAAAGTTCCCCCATTATAATTATGTAATATATAAAACTCGTATAAAAAATAAAGTTCAAGTACAACCCTTTTCGGTAAAATAGTTTGAAACTTTACCATTTTTTTTTTGGATTAATATATTGATTTCTTTTCATTATTACATTTAAAAAAAAAACATTTTAAACAAATAAATTGCCATAAATCTTTATTTGCTTTTTTAAGAATAAAAAATATATCTTTTTGAGAGCGAGTTGACAGGTAATGTATTTTTTTATTTACTTTATTATTTATATTATTAATTTTATTATCTTAATATATAGTAATGAATTTAACGGATTATAATTTTTTTTTAAAATATAAAAGGGGTGTGAATGTGATACCGCAAGCTAGATTGAAGCCTGTTTCAAACCGCTATTTATAAAAAAAGGTATATATTATTTTGTCAAAGGTAACGATAATTCTAATTATTTGATTTAGAATTCAATATGATTAAAATGAATGTTAATAATTTTTTTGATAATATTCCAGAAACAGATGAGGATTTTGTTTATGTATCAGATCAAATTTCTATAGAACTAGCAAGACAATTAAAAGCTGATGAAAATAGCAGTAATGAAAGTAGTAGTAGTAGTAATGATAATGAAATAGATATGAGTGATGATCAATTAAAATCTGAAGTAGAGTCAATAACAACTGAAAGCATGGAGCATGAAAATGAAAGAGAAAATAGCAACATAAAACACTATGCAATTATTGATTATATTGATGGTGATATTTAAAAAATGTAGTTCAACAAATAAGTTACTCAGATTGAAGCAATTAGTTAGAACTTGACAGCTAGATACGGATATAGTAGAACAAGCAAAAGGACAACTTGAAAGTCTTAGTATATGTTATAATCATTTTATATTTGATCAAAATAAGTTACATATTAAAGGCATTAAAAAAAATAAAGTATTTCTAAAAGTTTTATTATTCATAGGTATTGTCTCTATTATAATAAGAATTTTTATGTTTTTAGCTAAGAAAAAAATTATTCTGAACATTCGTGATCTCTTGTTAAAAAAAAATCTTCAAACAGCATATATTAATCAAAAAACTTAATCAGCTCTTCAAATATTTGATCCAATAATAATTCAATCACATTCATTTAATCAATTTCATTATATACGTTATAAATGCTATGAAAATCTGGTGATCATCTTTATATACATTAAGGAATAGGTCAAAAATCATTTAATTATATTACTGAAGGAAAGTATAATCAAGATGTTTTAAATTCCTTACTTGCTTTTTCAATTTGGATAAAACAAATTGCAAATTTAAATAATATAAACTTAAAAAATAAGGTTTTATCTTTAATTATTTCAGTATTACAAGGTTTGAAAGAAGAACATTGCATTATAAATTTTAAAAACCTTTGAGTTTTTTTGTAATTCAAATGATTTTTAGATTTTATTAAATAAATTTAAATTATGAAAAACTACTTAGTATTCTAAAAAATATTATGATTTTGGTAAATAAATAGAAAAGATTTTATTAAAGAAAAAAAATCAAATTAAATCTTAAAAATTACATTTAGAAAATTTAAAATCTTTACTTGAATTTTATAATATACTTCTTTGACAATTAATTCAATATTTGAAAAGTTTAATTCAAATACTTCTTAAAAAATTATGTAATTATGCAAATCATAAACAAAAAGAAAGTAAAAAAAATTATAATACTAAAAGTTTAAATATAAAAAAAATTCAGAAAACAATTATATTTATAATATCTATAATTACATTATTTGTGTTTAAAGAAACAAAAATTTGACTTATTAGAATGCTTGCAAGTTTATGCTTAGCTAAAAAATTAAAATATTAAACATAAATTCAAATAAATTTTAGCTTCTTTTATGTTAATTTTTTCTATCAAATTATCATTATTCTTAAAATTTGATGATTCTAATTCATTATTAGCATAATAAACTAGTTTTTTTCTTTTTTCTTTTCAAGTTTTAATATTAATTTAATAATTTTTTTTTATTTTACAGGAGAATCATCATTTGATTGCTTAATAATTTAAGTAATTATATTTTCTTAAATCAGAATATTAAAAAAAATTAATTATTTTTAAATATTAAAATGTTAGCATATAAATTTTTATCCCTTCTATAAATTATTATTTTTTTTACTAAATTCTTTATTAATTATAATAAGAAATTAAAGCTCTAAATGTTTTAGTTAAATCTGAATTAGAAATCAATCTGTTTTCAAACTGAAAATTTCAGTTCAGTTTAGTTCAGATTATTAATCTTAAAAATACTATCTGAATCTGAACTGAACTATAGAATAATAAAAATCTGTACTGAACTAGAATTTTTAGATTAATCTAAAATTACAATTTAATTATATATGAATCTCAAAAGAATCTGCAATTTATATATGAAACTCTAGGAGAATCACAAAAAATCGCAAATTTTTCTTCGAGATTTGCAAAAAATTATGAAATTTGATGAGTAATTGCAAAAATTTACGATTTTCTAAGATTTTCACATTTTTTATGAAATTTAAAGAGAAATCGCAATTTTTGTGACTCTTCAAGAATTTCGTGTTATTTTTTGCGAAATACTAAGAGAAATTGCAAAAATTGCGATTCTCCAAGATTTTCACGATTTTTTTGCAAAATTTGAAGAGAATTCGCAAATTTTACGATCCTTCAAGAGTTTTGTATATAATTGAACTGAACTTTCAGATTAATCTAAAATTATTAGTTTAGTTCAGATTTTTTCAGTTCAGATTAGAATTATAATTTAAAAAAAATCTGAACTGAACTGAAAATTTTTAAATCAATTTTTATGCAATTCAAAACTGATTCGAACTGAACTAATTAATTTGAACTGTTCAGAGTTTTATAAGAAATCAGTTTTTTACTTTTAATTATTTATTATTTTTATTAAGAGATCAAAATTTACTTATAAAATTTGGCAAGTTTTCTTTTAACTTTTGATTTTTTATATATGAATAAAGAAAATATACTGTTAAT